GTCTTCGCTGGAGGGTCCGAGGGACCGCTCCAGCCTTCCGTTTCCGCTGGAGTATCCAAGGGGCCCGTCTAGCCATCAGCGTCGCCTGCAGAACAGCAGCCGGAGCCGTATGCGCTGGGCATGAATCAAACATTTTCTTTGGGGTTACATGTTTTAAATGTTTGATTTTTGGGTGGGGGGAACTGTTATGATTCGGTGTTGTCAGTGTTTTGTTTTAGGCGTGACTGTGATGTGTTTCCCTGCATTATTTTGAAAGTCTGTTTTATATCCGTGTTCTGTTTACGTTTCCCTGTCTCGTCAGTTCTGAGTTGCCCCAGCTGTGTTTTCCTCCTGTTGTCCATTTCCCTGATTGCTCCCTCTAGGTATTTAAGCCCTGTGTTTCCGTTTGTCATGTCAATCTTCCCCCCGGTTGTATTTGTTTGGTGTTGGATGTAATTAAACGGCCTATTTTTGCTTTGATGAAAGTCTGTGTCAGTACTTTCGTTTTTTGGGATTTTTTTGGAGACCCGTGTTAGTCTTTTTTGTTGGCCCGCCCTCCTCAAGAGCGGTGAGCGTGGGGGCATTTTTCCCTTATTTCTATTTTTCCTGTGTTGCACGCCGGTTGCCTAGGCCGGGGTGTAACATGCATAAACAAAGGCACGTAGAAAAAAGAATGTAATGCAAACGCACATTTGAGCACAAAAGAAGGGGACGATGCCACCTCGAACGTTCATCTGCCTCCCCACATCTGGAGCAACGAAAAGGGGTATATTTGAGGCACATAACCTGCAGGTTTAGAAGTAGCTCTAGCTTTCTGAAAGTCTCACATTCAGGGCTGCTGCTGGCCATTTGGGTTCCCTTGGAGAAATTTGCAAAGTAATCATATGCAAAGAACAACTCGAGTAAAACAAAAGCCTCATTGTTATGTTGATTATACTTAACTGATAAGTATTGATATGTTGTAAGTTGTCACTTTAACACAAACTTTTACCAAAATAACTGAACGAATGGGACTGTGTTTGCAGAGCAAGCACCACAAGTGTCAATGAATAGCCTATTACAATGAACTGAGATGAAGATAATACTTAAGACAATGCTACACCTAAAGCAGGACAGAGTGACAGAGAGCCTGTCAGCAGACAGTAACATACCAACTGGCTAGCACTAATGCTAGCTAAATGTGAATAGGATTTGCAGCCTATATTTCACTTTTCCCCTATCAAGTGGGCCACCCGTGCTGTTGACATTGACCATGAGCCAGAGACCAGTGTTACTGAACAGCAGATTATGTTATCCTCAGGATAAAAATAAGAACTTTTTATGCTCTCCACTCATAGTCCGCAATTTTGGCGATCAACATCAGAACCTTTGGAATGACTGCAAGGTTTTTCTTAGACGCGTTCCGCTCCACTTTGGGTTTATCTTAAGGCACCTGTCGAATGAAAAACAACAACTTCATTAAGAAACTGAGGACTGGACTGTATGTGTTTTTTTTTTTACATTTGCAATGAATCTAAGTGTAGATTGAGCTTGCTTTTGAGTGCGTGTTTGGACATACAGTTCATTGTGGAACAGAGAGGTGATGCAAAGATGTTTGGTTAACCTGTGAGTCTTGGAAATACTGTTTCAGGGTAGTGAAACATCTGTGAACATCTACTACTCAAAGGTCTCTTTCTATAAGTTGACATGAGCATGAATCAAGGATATTTCAGAGACAGCCATCTGAAACGCAAATATTAATTTTTTGTTGATTTATCAATCTAAAGATCATCTCAACACTCAAGCATTGCTCAGTCCTATGCGTTTTAGCTGCAAATGAAAGGAAATCTGATGATTTGATTTGGATTGCATGACTTTAGATTTCACTATCTCGTCATTCTTATG